CTCTGCTCTGGGCACCCAACCCGTGGGTTAAAACACACAAAATAACACAAAACGGACTGTCCATAAACATAGCCACTTCAGCCCTCAGTTTACTTTCTCCCAAATTGCTGGAAAAATCAGAGAGCAAAGGTGGGCTTGGAAATGTTGCCGCAAAGGTTAGCAAATGCAGGTTTGGAAAGATCAATGAGGGGAGTGAGTTCTGAAAGAAGTTGCCCCCACCCTAACAAAGAAACACAGAAAGAATGGACTTCCTTTCTTTTAGATCAAGGACATTCCAGCCTGACATTTCAAATGTGGCAGTAGGTCGGGGGCTGGGGGGGGGGGGGGGGGGGGGGGGGGAGAGGGCAGGATGTTGTTGGAGCGGGGAATCTGTCACATAACCAGGTTCCAAAACATCTAGGTTTTATAGGTTAAAAACCAACACCATGCCAGCAAGATTCTAGCTGGAATTCAAGCCTACCTCAAATTCATGCCTAGAGTCTTTGAATCACACACCTAATTTGCATGCAGAGTTACCACTGCTGTGCTGCTAAACCAGGTGATTGTGTGCAGCTATGCACAATTAGCCAATTGCACACGATCTCACAAAATTTTGGGTAACATCATGGTAATGGCCTGAGCACTTTAGACACAAATTGTGAGTGCACAGTTGTGTGCTTAATATGCTCATTAAAAAACAAATTCATCACAATTCAACAATGAAAACACAATTGAAATGGTGAAATAAGATTTCTGTCTTACGAATCTTTAGTTATAGAATTTTAGCACATGCTTTACTGTGGTGTCATTTATTGAAAAACAGAAGCCAAGATCCTCAGAGATTACACACAATAAACAAAACCTCTTACCTCAACTGAAAACATATTATAGAACTCTTGATATTTATTAGCTAGATGGATCTGGTATACAGTTAGACAAATACACCTAAAGATAATGTTTGCTGTGGACTGTAATGCAATACTGAACCAATGCATACAATGAGAAAGACAAAAGAATTAACGATGGGAGTCTGCATCCTTAGAAATGGGTGGGGTGGAGAACAAAGTCAAATGAAATTTGAACAAAATGCAAAGCTGTGTGCAAGAAGAGCTCTGTGAAGAACTCAGGATTTGTACCCAATGAGGGACAAAACTACCTTCAGTAGCACATAAGCTAAGACAGCACTGAAATCTCCTCTAAGCCTAAGCCTGATCCAAAAATCTTCAAGTGCATCATGCCATTCATGATTTATTCACTTTATTTTTTAATATAACACTTTCTGTGGCCATTGTCATGTACGAAGGGTTAAACACAGCACAGAGCTGTCTAAACCAGTGATACTCAGATCTCAGTGGTTCCGCAGCCAAATTAGCAATCATCATTACCCAAAAGAGCCACAGTCGTGTGAATTCGTTTCATTTATTTTTTTTATATATACTTACATATATTATTCTCACAGCAAAATGACTGACCAAGTGTTCTACCATTGGTTAATAACATAGTAAAAGCATCCTGATTGGTTAATAGTTTAGACTGGTTAATAATTATATCACACAGTGTTTTAATATCATGTGCTGCAGAGCTGCAAGAGACACACAGACTGAGGCTCAGAAGCTACAAGTGGCTCTTCAGAGTATCACTGGTCTAAAAAGACAAGTGGGTGCAATAAAATAGAGAAAAGATACAGCTATAACATCTCACATCCCTTTTGGGGTATTCTGCTTTCAGAGCCTCCCATGTGCTGACATCTCAGTGTCTGTACTTTATTTCTAGGAAAGATTATCCAGCTCTGGAGGACCGTAATAGATATTCTACTTGATGGGAAATATCCCATTACAAGAGATTACACCAGCAGAGATGTCCAGGTGTCCATGCATTCCCTTCAAGGATTAGAAATCAGAGCAAAGTTGTGAATTTTCACATCTGACTAAGCTAGTAGGTAGTGGGGCAGAGGGGTTGTTTTTAAGAGGAGAGAAGAGCAGCAAGTATAAAGACCCCAGCAATGAGAAGAAGAAAATGAAAAGAGTAGAATTAGATTGTTTATAGGATATCAACATTTCACTAATTCAAATCTGGACCAGCTCAGAACTTGTTAATTATACTTGGCTGGCTGTGAAATTAGTGGCTTTTGTGAAATTAATTTGCTGGGTCCAAGTCCATGTGCTACATTTGAAAAAACAGCTCCACAATTGGCACCCATGCTGGCAGTCTCCGAGGGAGGCCAAACACTGTCTAACCCTCCACCGCGATGTGTTCAAGGCAGAGCTGAAGAACAATGAAATGTGCGTTTCTCAACTGCGGCCACCAGCAGATTGTTTTTGCTGCCACGACAGCCTCCGAAGCATGGGTGGAGATTGGTGGGGGAGCGGGGGGGGGGGCCACAAAGTGGCAGCCTCTCCCTGCAGCACCCAGCTGTTGCTCTTAAATAGCTGTTACCAATGGCAGCGAGATGTGCTGCATTGGTGTTTGTGCTGTCACTGCCAGCAGGGATCGGTGCCCTGTACCACGCAGCCTCCTCAGGGGCTCCAGGTAGCACCTCTGGAGACACGTGGGGCTAGTGTGCACAGCGCCGGAGGCGGCGATGGTGTTTGGTTGTTGGGATGCTCCCCAGGGCAGCTCTCCCGCTCCTGCTTGGCCAGGGCACCGGGAGCCTAGGACTCCACAGGTGTCCGGCGAGTTCCCGACCCACCATCCCTGAGGCAGGTTCTCGCTGAAGGGCCACAGGAGGCAAGGATAGAGAGACTGGCCACACTCTCAGGCCACCAAAAATGTTGTTATGAGAACGCTGCTCTGCCCATGTTACCTGTTCTACAGATAAACAGAAGAGTTCCATTTTCTTGGTTAAAGTACTATACCTCCCAAGGTACACCATCTGTGGTCCGAAGATGGAAGCTCTCATACACTACGTCTTCCTATGGCTGGATCCACGCCTCGTACTACTTTATTATTAGAACCTGTGTGTCAAGAGCACTTACTGGTGAGGACAAGCAGCATGCTCAAAGCAGAAAAAAAAATTACCCTTATGTAAATGCTTTATGGAACACCTGATTGAAACACACAAAAAATTCCCCTTGCCTCTTGTTGGCATGTCAAAAGGCCAAATTATTGTTAAATACAAAAGTTGGAGTCAATCCAAAGATTACATGATATCAGATTCTCAGACACCGTTTAATGTGCAGTTGCAAGGAACCTGTCACTGCAGGTACTGCATTGCAAGGCACAAAACCAGCACATGAAGTGCTCTTTGATATTCCCAGATAAGGTCAATCATCTGTATACAAGCTAATTATTCATAGCCTGCAGGTTGTGGAAAAATGTTTTCATGAGTAAAGCAAAGATGAAACATGGAAACTAGGTTAGTGTTTGCTGTAGAGGAGGTTGGAAAGACAGAAAGTCTCATGGGAGCTCTGAAAGCTCACAGACCCCTCACCTGAGGAAGCTATGATTTCCTACAGGATGCAGCCAACAGCGTCAGGTGTGCTCCTGACCAACAGGCAGAAGGACCCAATGCTTACGGAAGCTTTAATGAAAATCCCCCATAGGACAAATCCAGATGAGAGATGGACTATTTCTTTGGTTGTCCTTCATTTCATTTGATATAAAAACACCAGCAGGTACATTTAATACTTACTCAATATCGCTTTCCCATGTAAACAACTGATGTAATTGCCACAGGGATGTATGCAGTAGTGCAAGTGAGTAGGGAGGAGGAATGTGTGTGGCTGCTAACAGATGGGGAGATGGTGTGCATATTAGGGAACAGGAAGGAAGACAATCCCTCTATTCAGACATGGTCCACACTATGAAACTGTAAGAGAACCCCTGAAATAGTGTCCTACCCTCTAATGTGTAAGGAAGACGCACGCTGTAGCTTTGGATTGCCCTAGCCAGTTTGAACTCTTCCACATTAGGGGGAGGAAGGAAGAGGTAAAGTTGTCTGAAAAATGACATTTTCTTTATCGTGAACACCACCTCCAATTAGCCTGCATGCAGCTGGATCTCTCTGTGTAGGAGACCACAGAGCAGCAAAGCAATATCGTTCCTTGGTCCAACTGTATCTCATCCACTCTCCTGCTGTTCACAAGTTCATCACAAATGATTAGGGAATGACAATCACTGGGGAGCTTGTATGGTACAACTGCTGCTCATCACACAAGCATAATCACCCCTGTGTTACCTTGCGCTCCCCCAGTTTGTCTGTTGCACCCATCCCTGTTGTCTCTCACCTTACACGTGGACAGCAAGCTCTTTGGAGCAGGGATTGGTTTTGTTATGTCTGTGCAGCACCTAGCACAAAACCAGGCCTCCGGGCCTCTAGCTGCTACCACAATGCAAAAAGTAATAATATTAAATAAATGATGCAAATGATGCCCACATGAGCCAGCCTGGTACCACGCCCTGGAAGTGATCCAAATATTGAGACACTACTAGAGCATGGAGTCTTTGAAGAATTTTCCATAAAACTCCTCTTAAATAAAGGGAAGCTTCCCAAGAGAAATAAAGTCTTCTGAAAAAAACCCATTCAATTCTCCGGTATGTCATTAGAGTTTATTTTACTATATCTAGAGGGGAAAATATAGCATGATACTAACCAAGCTGGGGAAAGGACTAAAAAAAAAAAAAAAAGTAAAAGTTATGCGTGTTGCGCTTTCACGTGTACAAAGAACAGCAGATCAGGAGATCTCCTAGATGCCTGTACAGTGAACTGTATGGAGCTTGTGAAAGTTAAATATAGTGCTCCATTCTAGGGTCTTAAATATTAGTGCACGAGACTGCCACCTTGTGGCTCAACCGTCACTGCTTTGTGTAATAAAACCATCTCAGGGGAGGGAAGAGTTATCAAGATGGCTGCCTCAGGAAATACTTGTGTGTGTTTTTTTCCCCTCCCCACTGCTGACTGCTGCCCTGTTTGAACTGCATGGTTTCAAATCACTACCAACATGGCCTCCTCAGAAACCTACTGGAGAGAGCTGATAATAGTGTCAGTAGGGATGAATCAGAGTTATAAGCTAAACACATACCACATCAGTCATGCCACAGAACTCATCCAGCCGTATTAACATTTCTTCTATGGTTTCTTCCACTTCTTTTACCTGAAAAACAAATATATTATATGTACGTACGTATGTATTTAGTTGCTTCTGTGAATTAAAGGCAGCGCAGCCTTCTCAGAATGAACAACAATGTGAGCCAAATCCTGTTTTGATCAAAAGTATGTTTATTTGTCAAAAGCTAAATCTGGGAATGGAAGGAAGTGTTTTGATTTCAGGTTATCCATAAGATATGGTACATCGTTCTTTCCTGCTCGGAAATACAGAATCTAGGTCAACCTGAGGAATTTTCAAGCAACCACAGTATAGCCAAATCCAAGAGTTCAAAAATCATGAGTTGGGTGCCCAAAATTATGGGATTGTTCTAAAAATCATGAGATTTTAAATAATTTTAGGTTCTTTTTATAATCCACTTTTTGAGCTTTTGGGTTTCATGTTTTCAAAAACTTACTTCCTCAGTCAGGAGGGCCTGATACTTACCTGGAATTTCATTTATAAAAAAAAAAGTAAGATCTCTTATATAACAAGATTCCAGGAACTGGGGCTTCATGAAAAGCTCCAAAAATAAAAAGACTTGAGATAATGACATAAGAGCTGGCAACACTGCAATCAGCCAGATTCTCTTCCAAGCCTGGTATCTTCTGGGTACACCACTATCTAAGATGTCTCCATTGCACATGTAATAGGTGTTTTAAGGTCCTGAACCTGCAATAAGTTCTCTGTATCACCCCACTTGATTTTAATGGCAGTTCACCCAGAGATGGCTTGTTGCAGGAACAGCCCTTACTGTTTAAAAGCTCTGCCTGTGTTTCAAAGAGAGAATAAATCACTCCATTCCAAAACCACCACTAACACTTGGATACAAATAATACCAAAGTGTGATTTAAAACTCAAAACACCTGTTATAGCCCATATTATTTTTACTGACAGAATTTTTTTTTAAATCCATTAAAAGACCTACAACATACCTAGAAAAAAACACTTTGAATATATTAATGCACAACTCACTTGAAGAAAAGCCAAAAATTCTTGGAATAAATTTTTCGGGAGGGTCGCTTTACTGTTTTCTCATAAATTTATCAAGGATGAAGCAAAAATTCAGAAATACTGCAAATCTCAACAGAAGAGTTGCACGTGTGGCTGTCTGAAGCAAAGACCTTCAACATACCCTCTGTTTGCAGAGAGACAGGAAACCTGCCGAATTGTTGCTATTTATAGGAAATCGGGCAGTAAAAAGCTGTGATAATAGAAGATCTCAGTAAAGTGGTGTGACCTATAAGGCAGACAGAACTATCCATAGCCTGAAAATTCATTCTGGTCATATTTTCAAAAATAAATTAAATCATTGGGATATTAAAAATAGAGAGATTGTAAACAGAAAAGGTATATTTACAGTATAATTTGTCCCTCAACTTTAATCAGTTTTTGAATCCTGGATCCAACCTTCTGCCTCTGACTGGGACATGCAGTGAACACGTGATTTCTAACTTGGCCTCAGCTCTCCCCACACAATCCACAGCATGAAAATACTGCATCTGAAGAAAGTTTTACAGATCAAAGGGAAATTATCCCATTTGTTAAGGTTAGTTTGCTTAAATGTTCATTGAGAAAGCCAACTAAAGAGAGAAACAAGAGTAAAGGTGTCTAAGTAAGGTCCTTCATCATTCCAACTCATACTAACAATGATTTGTTCAGCTTTTATCCTAAATTTACTATTATTTTGCCTGGATAAAAGAAGATGAATCTAAGTTGCCAAAATGCGCTTCAGATTGGGTAGATATCAATACAGCACTCAGCAGGGTACCAGTGCCTCCCAATACAGTTAAGAAAATCCCTGTCCCAGGGAACTTACATGCTAATATCAGATGTTACATAATAAAGGAAAGGTACAAGATGGAAGAGAGGGGGTTGGAGGAGGAGGGATGGGGTAATAACAATGACGTTTCTTAGTGAGGGCTTATGCACGGCTTGGTGGAGTACAAACTTTGTTTTTATTAATAGAATAAAATACAGTAGCTTGAACTTGATACAGTGGAGGAGCAGGTGCCAATGAAAGGGTGTGATGTGGTCAAGGAAATAGGCAAGGAAGATGATCTTGGAGGCTATGTTTTGAATGGACTGAAGGTGGGTTCCATGCCATGCAATTCATCATCCAGTTTTACTTTGCAAAGTGTCATTTGTACAAACAATACAATCGAAATACTTCACATAGTTAGACTCAATATCCCAGCAAAGGGTCAAAGGACTTCAGAAGCATAAAAGCAATTTGCAGTTGAGATTGATAGTGAAACAGTCACAGCAGCACAGTGAGGCAGGGAGTCTGTTCCAGATGTCAGGAGTTGCAGAGGAGACAAGTCCTGCACCAACAGTGATAAGATTACACGGAAGGAAGGGGGAAAGCCTAATGCCAGAAGCGTGGGGGAGAGGAAGAAAGGAAAGACAAGCACTGCACAAACATCAACTCTGCATTCTCAGTACTCGGGGAAGGGCTGCCACTGGAAGTAGCCCAAGGAGAGACCACAGGACTACATGCATTCGGTGGAACAACCCTCCTTGTAAACTGTGGCCACTATTCCAGACTACAGCCTTCTTGCAGGTTGTAGGGACTGGATTCTATCGCCTCCTAAACCCCAAGGGTTGGGAAGGAAGGGGGTATCTGCATTTCACCCCAGTGAACAAAGATTCACATTGTTTAAAATACTTGTGAATGAATAGTTTGAGTGATATCCAGACATGGATAGGAAACTTGCTTCTTATGGAGTGAGGATGATATTTAGGCAGCACCAGCTCGCTCGCTGCACATGTGGATGAGCCAAAGAGAAAAGGTCAACTGTATAATCTTAGCAGCAGAAAATTACAACACACTCTGGATTAAAGATTTTGACCCCATTCACACTAAAAACTAAAAGTGTGTAAGGTAAATTCACTTCCCATGGCTGGGGTTCCTAGGCACTATCGCAAAAGACATAATTAATAAAGCAAATAAATACTATTGCAGTATTTCTCAACCTATTCTATAGCAGGACCCCTCCAATTTAGCAACAAGGAAAGGATAGGGTGTCATGACCCTCCCCCCCCATCTGAGAACCCGTGAACTAATGAGATGTCTTTACGCAGCTACAGCAAGATTACTACAGAAGGCAGGAGCGGATCAGTGGCTAAGGGAAGAGAACGCAGTCTGGATGGAATGCAAGGGCAGCAACAGCAGCTAAGGAGGAGTAGGAGGGGAAAAGTTCAGGAGAGCAACACTCAGAGGCCAGGAAGGGAAAACCATGAAATCACAAAATGGGTGGAGGGGAGGAGCAGAACAAGGCACCAAACACATGGAGGCAGGACATAATCCGTTACCGGACATCTGTTTTCACAAGAGCAGCAACACCACAATAAGCTGCACAAATGGAACAAGATCAATTTAACCTGCAAACACACGTATTAAAAGTGCTAATATTTTGCACCTCAGTGACATTTCACACTTTGCAAACATTAAGAAATTAAGCTTCAAACACCACCTCCATTTTACAGATGGTTAAACTGAGCCACAGAGTAGCAGAATGACTTGCCTTAGAGCACACAGTGAGTCTGTGGTACTAAACCAGTAGGAGACATCTCAGGCACCTGCTCAAGTTTATGAAAGGAATCTAAGACTCATACATCTACCTAGCTGGTGAGACCAAAGCTTTGGCAAAAGAACTCAGCCATGGCAATATTACCAGAGGGGGGACTGGATGCAGTGTGTGTTTGCACAGGAAATATATATGTACCATTTACTGAGTGGTGTGGATTCTTGGTCAGATATTGTATATGAAGTTCCGCCAAAAACTTATTAGTTTTATTTCACTAACCAATGAGGCAAGGTTTAAAAAAAAAAAACCTGAGCATGTTTAGTCTGAGAAAAGACAACTGAGAGAGGACCTGATAACAATCTTCAGATATGTTAAGGGCTATTATAAAGAAGACTGTGATCAGTAGACATGGAGAACAATTGAAGGTAGGACAAGAAGTAATGGGCTTAATCTGCAGCAAGGGAGATTTAGGTTAGATATTAGGAAAAACTTTCTAATTGTAGGGATAATTAAGTTCTGGAATAGACTTCCAAGGGAGGTTGCGGAATCCTCATCATTGTAGGTTTTTAAGAACAGGTTGGACAAACATCTGTCAGGCATGATCTAGGTTTATCTGGTCCTGCCTCAGCATAGGCTGGACATAATGACTTGTTAGGTCTCTTCCAGCCTTACGTTTCCACAATTCTATGAAATAAGTGTATTGCTCATACAACACCATAAACAGGCCTGGCAAAGGAGAGACAGAATCCCTACTTTAGCTTACTTTCTAAGGGCTCTGATTCCCCTCCCATTGGCATCAGTGGAAGTTTTGCCAAGGACTTCAACAGGAAGAAGACCAGACCCCATGACATTGCATGACAACAGAAGATAAGCATTTGGCAAGCAAGGCCAGGGAAAACAAGCAGTACTCGTGCTACTAATAAGATCACGTGTTTCTTTTGTTAGATGCATCTTGTAGGTTCTACAATTGCTTTATTCTTAAGATGTTATTGCTTTGAAGGGAAGGCTAAAGTTTAAAGGCCACAATAAATGAAATGCAAATATCCCTATTTTTTATAGGTCTTTGATATGCTTAACCTTGTCCCTAGAGTTTCCACCTCCTCCATAGACCAAGCACTGTAACAGGAAGGAAGGAAGAATGGAAGGAAATTTGGCTATCTTTAGAAAGCCTCAGCAACAGTCAGAAGAGTGCCTGTACAAAGGAGACAAGTAGCCAGCTGGCTAATGACATCTAGAGGCAGTTGGAGACAAACAATATTTACGTATTTATATATAAAAAGCAAATGTACACATAAGCCCGTATGTTTGATTGCATCCCTCCTTCACCCTCTGTATATTGCTTGCCTTCTTAGGTGGCAAACACTTTACTTTGGGCCTGAAACGATGTCGTCTTCTGTGCTTGTACAGCACGTAGGACAAAGGGGTCCTGATTCTGATCAAGGCCTCTAGGTATTACTGCAATATAAACATATAATATAT